GTGTCAGTCAGCTGTTGGCTCTCACGCTGGCCAATAGAATCTTCCTGCCTATTCGTGGCAGCCAGCTATTGGCTCTCACTCTGGCCAGTACAAAATGGCCGCAAACTACATGAATATATACACTATATATATATATATATATATATATATGAAATGGAGCGTCTACTCGAATACGGTTATCCACTATAAATGACGTTTTAAGTAATAAAAATATCCGGTATCCCGGATAAAAAAAAATGAAATCTATTAATTCTTTAGAAATTGCTTTATTTACATTTCGGATACGAAACTGAACAGATACATGTTTCGAGAAAAATCTGAACAAGAGAAAGTGCTTTAAATGCAAAATAGAACCTTGGGAAGCTGTTCGTTGCAGTTCCGTCAAAGCGCTCTGAATTAAACATTGGTTATTTCTCCAAATGGGGGCGTAGGTTCGAGTACTCTCGTAAGACACATTTTTATTTTATTAGATCTTTTCGAGTACTCGACCGGTAGACGAAATAAATCAAAAATTCATACTCGCATATGGGTATCCACTAAAATTGCTCACGCAATACAAGGCTCATGAGCCACTCAACATAGAGGATTACTAAATGATGTGAGTGTAAGGGCTTATAGGAAGGGTGCGTATTATGAGAATACGAAGGATAGATAATGTTTGATCCTCGATTTGAAGAGATTAAAATTGTAGTGCTCGGAAAAGAAGTTTCGGTTGTCAGTTCCATAAGGCTGCAGTTCTGAAGAAAAATATGTCCGAGTTGGACTTCTTCTTTACCAATGGAATATGAAGTGCGTGAGGATGAGTCGACTCATTGAATGTGGCTTGGCTGTGAAGTTCTGGGCTGGGGGAACCAAGGAATGCAGTTCGCCCGAATATGAAAATAGCGAGAAGCCTGCAACGTTTTCGTCTGTGAGAAAGGGGTTGTAGGGTGGAAAACAATTCATCACCCATAAGGCCACGTGAACGCTTTCAACTCTGTTGAGGCTGGAATATGCGGATTGCACAGCAACAGTCCAGAAAACTCCATTTTTGGTCTGATCTGTACATAGCCAGAGAAGCCAGGCCCTTTCGGGAGTGGTACAGGAAACCGGACATTTTTAGGCGTCGTTGTGTTGTATCTGGTTGGTGCATAATTATCAGGCGTTTTGTAGGCGAGTTATTTGTTAACAAAAATTGCTGTTTTGTTTACTTTTGTTTAATAAAACTATTATTTTATTTTCATGTTATAAAAATGCGTATCGATAATTATACTCATTTAAAAATGTTATTGTTGAATTGTTATGTTTCTTTTTTCATAATAAATATTGTTTAAAAACACCTGATAATTATGCACCAACCCAATATTTGTGCTGGCCGCGTCTCCCGTCTCAAGAGACAACAAGTGGACTATTAGAGCGAGTTGCAGTGGAAAAAAGCGTTTCACTAAACATACGCTCTGGAATAATCCTTTAAATATCTTATTGTTGAATTGTTATGTTTCTTTTTTTCATAATAAATATTGTTTAAAAACGCCTGATAATTATGCACCAACCCAATATGTATGAGTTTCAGGCAAGAGAATACAACTGTTTATCATGACTGAATAATTCGCAGGGTCTGTTTTGTGACGATGAAACGTAACGACTTGGAAGCATTGAATGTTACAAACCAGTTCCTCCCCATCCTGAAAAATTTAGGATTTTATCGATAAAATTAACTTTGTTGATGCATTAGCAGCCTTGCCGATAAAAATTTTATCATTTTAAAAAATGATAAAATTTTAAAGTATTAAAAAGCTGTTTCGTGGCCGACTTGGTTAAGGCATGTCGGTTTCCATCTGCCCAGAGGGGCGCAGTTTCAAATCTTATCAGAGAAATGAATATTTAGAGTCCATATTTATATACGCTCTATCCAGGGCCGGATTATGACCTAGGGTAAAAGAAATGATGCTTACTCCCTCCCATCAGTCCAAGTCGCTCGCATCCGTCTTGAATGTTTTACTCGTGATATATTTGGTGACATTTATATCGCTTGAAGTGTACTTATTGCAAATTATTTATATGAATTGGAATAGCTATTTTCTGTTTGTTAATAAAAGCATTCTTTAAGAAATACCACTAATTTGCTATTTATTTGTTGTGGTAAACCCTCTTACAGTATAATGAACTCTTCCTTCTCTCACAAGTACAAACTGCGAGAGTCGGACGGGAGCGCAGAGTGTGAAGTGAAGTGGAGTAGTAGACGCAGTGCTAATCTACTTATTACTAACACTATTGTTTTGTATATATCTTCAATACACTTTTTTCAACCGACCTTCGTCTTCCGTGTCTTTTTTTCTGGTCCCTAAACAGGACACAACGTTATTGAAAACCAAATTAGCACATTTGAAAACAACCATAGTAAAAAAAAAAATTTTATAACCAACATTATAGAAATAAAAGAATCAGAATAAATGTGATCTCCCTTAGTGCGGCTAGATGTCCGATTGCTTTAAGCCTGGATCGAAACCCGACCGATTTGATATCAGTCAGAGATCCTATCCTTACGCTGTCCTCGCACGACAGAGAGAAACAAAAATTATAACATTTTTCTATACGAAATACGCCAGTGGCCGAGAGAACTCAGTTCGTTCTTGAAGAGTAATGCATTAATAGCAGTAGGAGCCGCTGTATATCATTATAAGCATTAAAAAATTATTTATGCAAAAAATTAAATAGAACGCTCAAAAATTAACAACGCGAGTATATGCCTGGAAAACCGGAAATCAAAATGGCTACAATGGAAAGAAAAGAGGAAAAAAAGAGAAATCGATAAAAGAATACAATAAGGAGCGAGTATAAAGGGGAAAAACGACGAAAAGGACAAAGAACGACATTCTACACGTTCGCACATAAGCGTAGACGGCCGCATGGGTGCACGCGCACGTACGGAGGCAAGATCACCCTCACACATAGACTATGAAAAAAACCTCGCACCAATGAAAAGGGTTTATAAAAAAGATAATCGAGAAGTATAAACATTCATTTGTTGATACCCCTTGACGAGAGGACGGAGTGATTCTCTGAGGTTCCGTCTACGAAACTCTGGAGTCGAGATGCTAAATGGATAATATCAGGCAGCTAAGTGATAAACATTTTACTTGTATTTGTTATATATATATATATGTAAAACTTTCTCAAAATTAACCTGTAGAAAAAGACAATATGTATAAAGGAAAAAAGACAATAGGAAAACTGTATAGTTTTAGCCGACGCCTTTCGTCCAATGTGGGCTTTTTCAAGGCAAAAAACGAAATGAATTCATTGAAACAAAGTATCTCTAAACCGCAAACGAAATGTTATCGAATTTAGAAACGCTATTGTATATTGATATAGTCAACTGAAAAATTACGTCAATTACTTTATGTTGGAAGAGAATATTTTCACATGTAGAAATATTGTTTGTATTGTTGCGTTGACGGATTCAGTCGCTTTCTTTTGATTTCTTGATATATTTATTTTGTACATTGGCTTGGAAGAGCAGCGATTCTGTTAGGAAAGGTGATATTGGGAAAAAAAAATTTCATTACGGCCAGCGTTTCCTATTCTTATTTTTAAAAATGGTTTTAAACATAGAAAAATATTATTCTAATTTAGTTTTATGATAATTCTTATTTTATTTTACGGCAATTTTTAAAAGATTTTTTGTAGCTGTGCATAATACGCACCCATGATTTTTTTAATTATTTTTTTAGAAAAAATGCGTATTATACATAGGAAATTATGGTATGCTGCCGATTAAACTATCCGTTTTTAAAGTCCTAATAAAATTTTGGACACCTCCATATTATTTTAGTATTTATATCTCGATAAAAAATTATAATTTTGTATAAAAAGATATTTATACTGAAAATAAAAGTATTTATATTTTTTAACAGGGATAATTTTGTCGCGAGTAAAAGAATATATTTTTAAATATACCTAATATTATAAATAGATAATTTGGAATAAAATACTTATGAAACTTTAATAAATGACTTATATGTTGAATAAAAGTATTTATAATTGTGAATAAAGGTACATTTGGAACAAGTATTTATCATTTTGAATGAAGACACTTTATTATAAATAAAATACATATATAATTTTAATAAATCACTTATATTGTGAATAAAAGTACATATCATTAAAAAAAATACCTGTAATTTATCAATAAAAGCGCTTTTATTGTGAACAGAAGTATTTATAATTTCGTTAAAAATACCTGTAAATGGGAGCATTTATAATTTTGAATAAAAGTACTTATCATTAACAAAAGATAGTTGTAATTGATCAATAAATCCGCTTTTATTGTGAAGAGAAGTATTTATAATTTCGTTAAAAATACCTGTAAATGGAAGCATTTATAATTTTGAATAAAAGTACTTTTCATTAAAAAAAAAAAGATATTTCTAACTGGTCAATAAAGCCGGTTTTATTGTGAACAGAAATATTTATAATTTCGTAAAAAATACCTGTAAATGGAAGCATTTTTAATTTTGAATGAATTTTTGAATAAAATTTTGAATAAAAGTTTGAATAAAAGTGCTTAGTATTAAAAATGCATTTGTAATTTGTTAATAAAGGCGTTTTTATTGAGAAAAAAGTATTTATAATTTCGTAAAAGCATACTTGTAAATGGAAGCATTTGTAATTTGGAACAAATTTTTATTTTTATAATTTTGAATAATCCTGTACAATTCGCTTTAATGTAACGTTTTATTTATTAATATGAACATAATATCAACGAAGTTACAGATTCATTCTGTGTTGTTAAGGGGTTAAAATTATATGGAGGAAATCTGTGTGTTAAATTCACGATGGCGGTGATTGCAAGTACAGTAAGCACGCAAAAGTGAAGCACTTTCCTCATTGGTCTCTTTATTATATGACGTAGTACTTATCTGACTTTTGTGTGTGTGTGTGTTTTATTAATATATAAATTCAGTGTTTGTCTCATTTTTCCAGCTTTGGCCTTTGTGAACCTCTGAATTGTGACAACAATGGAGCCTTACTTGACGCTTGATCACGTGACCCCCACTGAGTAAAGCAGCTGACATTCGGAAGAACACACTTTAATTTGTTTTCGTCGTTTTCTTTAGTTCCTTGCCTTTTCATTTTCATTCGACGCTACATTTTTCTAATTCTTCTTTTTCTTTCTTTCTTTTTCTTTTCTTATTTCAACCTGATTAGAACGTTGTATGCAAACATGTTATCAATATCAGTTAGTTCCATCATAGTTCCATAATTGCGTCAGCGTCCGTCCTGTTTCGTGTGTGTGTAAGGAGAAGGGGAAGCTGACCCTTGTCACCCCAAAATATTAGAAATTATAAGTAAGGCTGCACTTTGTTCTTTTGTCTCGCATTTCTTTTTTCTTCATATCTTTATCTTTCACTTCCTTCCTACATTTCCCTGAGTTTTTTTTTCCTTCCTTTCTTTTCTACTTCCTTTCTTTTCATTTCTGTCTCTCTGTCTATGTGTCTGTATTTGTTTCTTTCTTTCTTTCTTCGTCTTTTTGTAACTCACTTCCTCCTCAGCTTTTATCTTTCTTTTTCTTTCTTTCTTTCTTGTCATTTTTATATGTAACTTCCTTCCTCGTTTTAGGCTTTCTTTCTTTCTTTCTTTCTTTCTTTCTTTCTTTCTTTCTTTCTTTCTTTGTCTTTTTGCATCTCACTTACTTCCAAGTTTCTCTTTCTTTCTTTCTTTGTCTTTTTGTACCACACCTCCTTATTTTTTCTCTGTCTTTCTTTCTTTCTTTCTTTCTTTCTTTCTTTCTTTCTTTCTTTCTTTCTTTCTTGTCATTTTTATGTGTAACTTCCTTCCTCGTTTTAGGCTTTCTTTCTTTTCTCTTTCTTTTTTCTTACTGCTTTGTCATTATTATATGTAACTTCCTCCCAAAGTTCTTTCTTTCTTTCTTTCTTTCTTTCTTTCTTTCTTCTCATTACTTCACTCTGTTTCTTTCTTGCTAGATCAACCCTTTACTTATTCACCCCTAGACCTGACGTAAAAGAACCCCACTCGGCATTTTCCGCTTTGCCTCGCTCAACAACCACCATCCTCTGACCCAAAATACTCGGCATCATCGCTCTTGTATTGTCCGCATTTTATGAGATTTTCTTCATTTACTTTTCTGTTTTCGACCATGTGAAACCGATTATTTCTCGCCAGTATTGTGTAATATAACATGACACTATTCGTGTATATTTTAACAAAATCTAATCGTAAGCATTTTTGTCAAAGGCAACCTTCAGAAGACGCTTTATTGACGATCTTGTTGTCCGCTTTTGTCTTTTCCTACTACACAATGCCTAATTTTAATATGCAATGAACTCATATTAATCAACGATATTTCTAAAATATTTATATGATACAATGTGAGCATCAGCTTATAAAATCTATCTTTATTTGTATAGATAGATTTATAACCTAGATCCTGAAGATATTATTTCCACTCAGTCAGTTATGTGCCATGCGTGATACACGCTTAGGTGATCATGTATCTTTCGATACATGACTGACGAGGCAAATTTTTAGCAGTAGGTTTCCATTTCTTTCTGTGGAAGATTGGTTACCATCCAAGAACCCCCACCCAAAAAAAATAAATCCACTTCTTCTACCCCTATAGCTGGAGAAGAGGATTCATACCTTCCCCATGGGTATTAGCACGTAAGTGATTGTAATGGATTCGACTGGAATTCGAGCTCGGCTCTCCGATTCCTCAGTCCAAGCCGCTATCCATTACTCCGTCGTGCCTCATATATAAATAAAGATTTACATTGATTTGGTTTGATTGTCTTTGTTTGGCGGCATATCAACACCTCTATGGGTTATTTAATGACGGAATCTAAATATGAAGATTCAAACATTTTAATTAATTCAAGAGAATGACATTATTTCGTGATTAAATTATAATTACTTAGCTGCAGTTTTTTACGTAATAATCTGACAAAATCAAACGATCGACCATTTTTTCTGAGTTGGAACTTGTGCGAACATACCACGAAATACCACTAGCAGATGAGGATATACATAAAATGGAACAGGAACACGCAATACACACACATCATTACACAACGTCACTGGTATGAGTGCTGCATTAGCACAATATAATGAACTTAAAGATGTACTTTTCCAGTATCCTAGTGAGGATGTGGCGTTTTTAAGCGCTTGAATGTAATCCTAACTCATGAACTTTATCCTCACCATTACATAAGCAACTTTACAGAAAGTTTACAAGGATCGGCCATTGTTGGAATTTGTACGAACATACCACGAAATACCACCAGCAGATGAAGATATATATAAGATGGAAGTTTCAACAACGTTTGGACTGTATGAATTTTCCTAAACCGGCGCAAGATACTTCAGCGGTTCATAGACAAAGATTTGGTTTGTTTGTTTTTGTTTAGCGACATATCTATGGGTTATTGAATGACGAATTTTAAATATGAAAATTCAAACATTATAATTAATACAAGAGGATGAAATTATTTCATGATTAAATTATAATTACTCAGCTGTAGTTTTTTTTACGTAATAATCTTGCAAAATTAATCGAGCAATGAAAACTTGTTTTCCTTACAAGAAATGAGATTAATCATAGCAATTTTATTTTAAATTTGCTGGTCATTTTGCTTCAAAACCGTATTTCAGGTTATTTTGCTATAAAAATGTATTCTTGGTAATTTTTTTATAAAAATGTATTCCTAGCATTTGTAAGATAAAAATGTATTTTTATATTTTTTTATTGTTTTTATCGTTGTTTGGAAGATTACTATTTACCTATAGCAGAGAATTTAACAGGTGTGCAGGAGACACTCATAAAAGCAACAGGAGCACGCAATACACACATCATTGAACAACATCACTCGTATGAGGGCTGCATTAGCACAAAATAATGAACCTATAGATGTACTTTTCCTGTGTTCTAATTTAACCCATCCCATTATTATATCCAGGCACAATCTTTCAAACAGTCAGACTTCACACCCAAACTATAGGCCGGACGGTTTACAGCCCGCGTGGGGCTGTGACTGAATAGACAAAAGTCTCCCAAAGAGAAATTACTGTAACCAAAAAAAGCGTAATTCGACCCGTAAAAAGTTCATGGTCACCTCCAATCCATTTACCACCGAAAGCCAATTCGACCTAGAGAGGATGTGGCGTTTTTAAGTGCTTGAATCATGACCTTTATCCTCTCCATTACAGAGGCAAATTTACAGAAAGTCTACAAGGATCGACCATTTTTTTCTAAGTTGGAACTTGTACGAACATAACACCAAATACTACTTGTTTCTCCTTACAAGAAATGAGATTAATCATAGCAATTTTTTTCACAATGTAGAGTTGTGACAGGACGGTAAGTGCGACGCTGAGATCCGAAAACGTATTGGGATGGCCAAAGACGCATTCCAAAAGCAAGGCAGAGTATTACAAGACAGGAGGATTTCGTTGGTAACAAAGAAAAAGAATACTGAACTGCTACGTGATATCTGTCCTACTTTACGACAGCGAGTGTTGGGCGGTCTCCTCAAAGATGAAAAAAATGCGTGAGACAACAGAGATATGGCTCTACAGAAGGATGCTAAGGATAATATGTACCGAACATGTGAGCAACGATGAAGTTTTGGAGAGGATGCAAACAAGGAGGAAGCTTATACTTAACATCAGGAAGAGGCAGCTGAAATTTCTGGGGCGCGTAATGAGAAAGAAGTGTTTGTAGAATCTGATAGTCACAGGACGGATAGAAAGAAAGAGAGACAAAGGAAAGCGACGCGTGACATACTTGACGGGCTTAAGCAAGTGGATGGCAGAACAGGGTCTGGAAAAAGTAGCAAAAGGAGACAACATATTGAGAACTACAATGGATAGGAGAAAGTGGAGAGCCATGATCGCCTACGTCCAGAAGGAACACGGCATATAAAAGAAGATGCCGTGCATTTAATTTCAATATGAAATATATTGATTGACATTTTGCTATAAAATGTATTGGTGGTCATTTTGCATTAAAAATGTATTGCTTTTCATTTTGATTTAAAAAGTATTCCTAGTTATTTTGCTATAAAAATATATTGTCAGTAATTTTACGATGAAAACGTATTGTTAGTAATTCTACTATAAACTGCATTGCTGGTCATACTGCTATAAAATGTATTGTTGGTCATTTTGCGTTAAAATATATTGCTTGCCAGTTTGCTTTAAATGTGTAGTGCTTGTTATTTTACTAAAAAAAATGTATTGCTTGTCATTTCGTTTTAAAAATGCATCTGGTTATTTTGCTAGAAAATGAATTGGTCATATTTTAGTCATTTTGCTTTAAAAATGTATTGCTGGTCATTTTGCTTTAAAAATGAATTCCTGGTTATTTTGCTAGAAAATGAATTGTTTTATTGCTATAAAACATAATTTAGTCATTTTGCTTTGAAAAATGTCATTTGCTTTAAAAATTTGCTGGTTATTTTTGAAAAAATGAATTGTTGGTCAATTGCTATAAAACATATTTTAGTCATTTTGCTTTGTAAATTTTGCTAGTCATTTTGCTTTTAAAATGAATTCTGGTTATTTTGCTAAAAATGAATTGTTGGTCATATTGCTATAAAACATATTTTAGTCATTTTTTTTGAAAAATTGCTGGTCATTTTGCTTTTAAAAATCAATTTTGGTTATTTTGCTAAAATGAATTGTTGGTGATATTGCTATAAAAATATTTTAGTCATTTTGCTTTGAAAATGTATTGCTGGTCATTTTGCTTTTAAAATGAATTCCTGGTTATTTTGCTAAAAATGAATTGTTGGTCATATTGCTATAAAACATATTTTAGTTATTTTGCTTTGAAAATGTATTTTGGTCATTTTGCTTTTAAAATGAATTCCTGGTTATTTTGCTAGAAAATAAATTGTTAGTCATATTGCTATAAAACATATTTTAGTCATTTTGCTTTGAAAATGTATTGCTGGTCATTTTGTTTTTAAAAATCAATTCCTGGTTATTTTTGCTAGAAAATGAATTGTTGGTCATATTGCTATAAAAATATATTTTAGTCATTTTGCTTTGAAAATGTAAAATTTTGCTTTAAAAATGAATTCCTGGATATTTTTAGAAAATGAATTGTTGGTGATATTGCTATAAAAAAATTTAGTCATTTTGCTTTGAAAATGTATTGTGGTCATTTTGCTTTAAAAATGAATTCCTGGTTATTTTGCTAAAAATGAATTGTTGATCATATTGCTATAAAACATATTTTAGTCATTTTGCTTTGAAAATGTCTGGTCATTTTGCTTTAAAAAAATTCCTGGTTATTTTGCTAAAAATGAATTGTTGGTCATATTCTATAAAACATATTTTAGTCATTTTGCTTTTGAAAATGTATTGCTGTTCATTTTGCTTTAAAAATGAATTCCTGGTTATTTTGCTAAAAATGAATTGTTGGTGATATTGCTATAAAACATATTTTAGTCATTTTGCTTTGAAAATGTATTTTGGTCATTTTGCTTTTAAAAATGAATTCCTGGTTATTTTGCTAAAAAAAGAATTGTTGATCATATTGCTATAAAACATATTTTAGTCATTTTGCTTTGAAAATGTATTTTGGTCATTTTGCTTTAAAATGAATTGCTGGTTATTTTGCTAAAAATGAATTGTTGGTCATATTGCTATAAAACATATTTTAGTCATTTTGCTTTGAAAATGTATTGCTGGTCATTTTGCTTTAAAAATGAATTCCTGGTTATTTTGCTAGAAAATGAATTGTTGGTCATATTGCTATAAAACATATTTTAGTCATTTTGCTTTAAAAATGTATTGCTGGTCATTTTGCTTTAAAAATGAATTCCTGGTTATTTTGCTAGAAAATAAATTGTTAGTCATATTGCTATAAAACATATTTTAGTCATTTTGCTTTGAAAATGTATTGCTGGTCATTTTGCTTTAAAAATCAATTCCTGGTTATTTTGCTAGAAAATGAATTGTTGGTCATATTGCTATAAAACATAATTTAGTCATTTTGCTTTGAAAATGTATTGCTGGTCATTTTGCTTTAAAAATGAATTCCTGGTTATTTTGCT